AGTATTTCTGCTGTTTGTTTACGATTTGTTTTGTGAAGCTTCTCGGAAATATGTGGGTGAAATCGTAACCAGGCCGTGTCAAACCGGGACATCCCGCAACATTTAGGGTCCTCCCCAGGGTTGCCAGCTCTTACGCATCTGTCGTGACACTCACGCTTTCAGACTCTCACACAAGAATCTTACGGCAAGTATTATTCTATTATAAACCTAACATTAGCTTCATTGAAAGTCTTGGGGTAGTTTGCAAAGGTTATAAAACTCATACATACATGTAAATGCCTGTGCAGACTTGTCTCGAATTAAACATCTCACACCAGCATGCTGACCGGAGCTGCCAACCCTCCCTCCCTGTCCTGAATTTCATTCGGCAGCTGTGAAAGAATATCCTCAAATGTCCGTAACCGAATCGCATTGCACTATCTATAAGATTAGTGCATTTTATTACATTGGCCCAAACGCAATTATGTTGACTCCTGTGTGTTTGTCTCTCCAATGTGTCTGGCCCCCTAGCTTCTGTGGTCAGTGGTCCTGTGGGGAGGCACAGACTTGGTGGACAGGGACCCTGATTGCAGGTGGCCGCGTGGCCTTGAGCTTGCACTCAGCTTTCGACTTGGAGAGGCTGAATAAATAGCTATTGATTTCCATCTGTGCGTGACTTGAAAGGCTTGGCTGGACATCCGTGCGTTGATGGAGACCATCTTGTGTGTGTTACTGTGTGGCAGAGGTGCCATTAAGGGGGGGGGGACTGAGGACAATTCCAGGGGCCCCTGAGTTTGGAACATAATTGGATTGGTCTAGGCTGGGGGGCCCAATATGATATGCTGTCATGGGGCCCAAAATCTTTAGCTGCCCTCCTGCTGGGCATGAGCTGTGTGTGTGTGTGTGTGTGCATTGTGCTGGAAGACAGCAGGCTGGGGAGCTCCAGAGAAGGACAAATCCCCAACAGTTGACATCAGTGTGGGACGTGTGTGTTTTGCAGACGGTCCCACCGAGGCCTCTCGTCACACGCCTGTCCCCTCCGTCCCTCCCGGCATCACGCTGCTCGCTTTTCTGTGTTTCTTTCTCTGAGCTTCACTGGGTTCTGCCTCATTCGCTGATTGTTGAATGCATCAGTAAGTTTAACGGAAAGGCCCTCGTTTGCTGTGTGTTTGTATGCGCTGTCCTTAAGAGCTGTACCATTATTAAGCTTTTAGGGGGAATAGATTCTTAATGTCAATCCTGTCCACCTGTCACTCGTTCCGGAATAAGATGACTTCGGTGTTGCAGTCCTCCTGACTGCAGATTCTATTATTCTCTAAAATTGTGTTTGTTAGTTTTAATATAACAGGACATCTTACTAGAGTGTCTTTGTACAGCAAAGCACAAAGCCTGTGTGTCTGGATGCGCTGCCATCCGGGCTGAACGCAGTGTTCCTGAAGGTCGCAAAGTGAGAGGGACATGAACTAGTTACCGTGGGCACCAGCTCTGTACCAGTGTCTCTCTGGTTTCCAGCTACATAATGACTCATTTCCTTTTTAATCACGTGATCTCCGGTGCTGCTGATTGGCCGGCCTGCATTTTTCTGTATGCATGAACTCTTCAGGATCAAGGGCTACCCACAGTGTGTCCTCGAGCAGATGTCTCTCTCTCCATCCCAGAGCGTCTTATCCTCTTGGGGTTCAGGCCACAGCTCAGCCAGAATCAGTGTCTACGAGGCCAGGGTCACCACAAAACCATCATCATAATTGGATGCAGCCGGAACAAATGAAAAGATCTTAGTGACTGTAATCATGCAAATAAATGGAGCTGTTTTGCAGTCTAGAAATAAGTTGTGATTATCACCCCTGGTAGTTCTAGATCAGAATGTTAGCTGGAGCATCTGAGGGGTTTTGATTTGTGTGTTGGTGACATGTATGGTTGTACTGGACCAGTTTAAAAAGTGAAAATTAGTGAGATGTAGATCTTAGGGTGGGACAGCAAACAGAACCACATGACACAGGGATGGGGATTTATTTTCATGCGAGAGCGGAGGTGGTTTTAAATAAAGGGCGGGGTGGGTATAAAACAAAAGACAGCCTGGGAAGAGTCACAGGGAAACATAAACGGGCGTTGGAGTTTGGGAACGTGTATTTTCTGGAGACGAACCCGATCCAGATATGATGGGTAATAAGGGGCAGGGGAAGGGGGTGGTGTCTGGCTGAGTGGGTTTGGGTGCCGAGCCTCTGGTTGGAAGGTTGCTTCAAATCCCTGACTGACTGTGAGGATTACTTCTGCATTGGGCCCTGGAGAAAGGCACTTAACCAAAACCGCTCCAGATCCTGCTCTCTCTAAAAAATGTCGCTTAAGATAAAAGTACATGCTAAATAAATAAAATGTAAATATACAAAAATGTAAGTGAATTAATTAGTTCACACACCCCCAACAAACTGTATGTTACTGGTAGCTTTTATACGCTTGTTTTCTGGGCAGAGGGCTGTTTGTGAATCACCCCTCCCCTCCCGTGGCTACTCCTGAATGCTAAGTCCATATTAATCATGTCGAACTATAGTTTCTTTTCTTGGCTGTTTCCTCCCCTTTCATCACACATTTTCGTGGCCACGTAACTGCCGGCTGTATGAGGTTACAAGCTGTAATTCTGCTACCGCATGGGCTGCCTTGCTTAAGGAGGGTCTTTAGAGGCTAAATGGCTTTAGAGGCAGGGTCGCTCGCAGTCAAGACCGCAGGACCTGCGGCCAGGGGGGGGTTTTGAATTTCACTAGAGAAAACAGCACATTCTCTGGAGCACATTCTCCTTTGTTTATTATGCTCTTATTGTGTAATTCATTCAAATTAGCCTGGCCCTCCCACTCATAAGTTCGGCCCACCCTGGGGCCAAGTAAGAAACACCTCCAAGTTTCAGCAAATTGGTGTTTGGCGAAGTTTGATACCCTTTTGTGCATTTTTAGATTTCCAGGGTGTTCGGGGGGTTATTAAAAAGTCTAAATGTCTTAAATTTGAGTTGAACCAATTAAGGCTTTGAAACGCCTTAAAGTCTTAAATTTAAATTAACTACATGGTAATTTTCTTTCTTTGAGGTCATAAGCATTCACAGTGGCTCCGCTCATCCACAGTTTTTCACTTTTTGCGGTTTCTGTTATTCAAGGTTCGAAAACATTAAATGAAAAATTCCAGAAATATTTCGCAAGTTTTAAATTGCGCGCCATTCTGAGTACCGTGGTTTAATCTCGCACGGCACTGCCCAGGGTGTGAATCTCCCCTTTGTCCAGCATATCCATACTGTATACGCAACCCGCCCATCAATCACTTGGCAGTCATCTGTTATCAGATTGACTGTCGCAGTGTGGCAAAGCTTGTGTTCAAATTACTTTCTTTAAAACAAAAAAAAATACTTAAGAAGAGTGAATACAGTACAATAAGACCAAATATTACAGTGTATTGTTATAATCATAATAATAATTCAGTTTTTAATCTAAGTTTGAATACTGTAATTCTAAAATGTCAACACCTTTCTCATCTTCCTGGCCACATACCCATGCTGCGAGGAATATTGAATGGGTTTTGAAGAGTGCATATTAATCACGCTTCATAGTATACCTTTAGTTTTGATAACTGTATCAAATGTTAACTTGAGAGTTTTTTTTGTTTGTTTTTGAGCAGAAGTTCAAAAATTTGTGCTAAAAATAGCACGGGCTATAGCAGCTATCAGAGGACACATTGGCTAGGTATCTTGTCTATGGTATTGTCTTTGAAGCAGCAATCCATGGGAAAGTGTAAGTTCAAATATTCAAGTATCTGTTAAATCTGCCACTCACTTTTGCAGAATGGGGCATTGAATGTCTCAGTGGAAGTCCGCTGTTTCCTGGTAGGAGGATTTCGCATAATCGAGGCACCCATGCCTTGATTGTCACACTGTAAAGTTTTATTTATTATTCAAGCATCAATTGTTAGACCAAATCAGACTTTAAATCAGACTTTAATGAGCTGTGGGTACAGTCACTGTAGTGTAGATGTATGGTAAAGCATATTTTTTCTTGGCTTGAAGTGACATTGAAAAGGTCTTAAGTCTTAAATTTCACTTCAGGATTTCTGCAGACACCCAGATTCACCTTTTATATCTAGAATTGTTGTAGGCTGTTATTGTATGCAGCAGCATTACAAACAAAACAAAACAAAACACAAAAGGGTCAGATCCCCCCCCCCAGCCACCTATAATAATCCTGTGGACCACTCAGCATTTTGATGCTGGACCCACTTCACCCACACAGAATATTAGCATGTTTTACAATAAGCAACACACCAGGATCTCGCTTTTCATGGCCGCCGGCCCTCCTTCGAGGTGAATCGGGCCGGCACCAGCGGGCCGGCCCAGATTAGCGTGCGGCGGCGGGGAGCTGCAGCACCTGTGAGGGAGTTTCGCCTTGGCGCAGTGCCAGCTGTGGTGAGGAATAGTGGAACCAGTTAACGTCGCGGTGATTTATGGCGTGCCTCTTTCGGGGCGTCCTGCTGTGGTTTCTGTGGGCCGAATCCTCCTCCAGGTCAGGCAGAGCCAGGTGCAGCACAAACCTGGATCTTCACACCCGGACTGGTGTCAGTGGGCTGACTGTGAGCGTGTATGAAACCTATCACCACTGGAAACAATGCGGGTTAGAATACTCCTCAAGGAGGAGCCCCCCCCCCAGTGTCTGGGCCCCATTTTCTCCTTCCTCCCCCCTTATGGTGGGTGGGCCTGAGCGTGAGAGAAAGTGGGTTTTGTGTGGATTTAATAAACAGAATTCTGGATGTTGATTTCGTTTATCTCTCAGGAGGGAAACCTTTGTTTATATATTTTAATGTACAGTGTTTCCCTTGGAAATTGCAGCACATCAGACTCACTTCACACAAACTTACACGCTCACGTAAACTCCAATTCTGGCACCCTTGATCACATCTGAAGCGCTCCCCCCGCTCCTGTATGACTGCGCCAGCTTGTACAACTTCACACAACTGCTAATATTTTTCTTTTTATATTTTCATTCCCCCAGGATTGAAAAAACGTACCCGAAAGGCTTTCGGGATACGCAAGAAAGAGAAGGACGCCGATTCCACGTACGTGTATGACACACGCATGTTGATGCTCACCCGGTTCCGTGCCGGCATGTTGTGAAGGCCGTAGGTGTTAATGCCAAAATCCACAGTTATATGAAACAGTTTGCGAGATGATTCGTTTGCAGGTTGAGGACGTACATTTTGGCATCGGTCCGCACAACATACAGTCAGAAGTTAGAATCGTGTACGAAAACAACTTGATAAAAGCTTGACGTAGAGGAAAGCTGGTTGTTCGAGATTTTGCCAGTGATTCACATTGCTGAATTTCCTAACCAAATTCCCAAAGGGCTCCGTCATTAGCCTGGAACTTCCTCAAACGTAGAAACACTAGAGCAAAGTCCAGTTCAGATGGCTGATAACAAGAGTCTAGTATGAGTTTGACTTGTTTTCTTATGTTCTTGTGTCTCATTGTTCAGCTCAGATTGTTGCTGATTTGTCTATCTTGACGGTTCAGATTCATAATTACAAGTGACATGTATCTAACTGTAATGTGAATGTGCATGTCCTCTGAAAATTGCATTCATGTGCACGTTGATAAGTTTTTGCACAAATCACCAACAACAAATACGTCGTCACCGGCAACAAAAACGTTCGGCGTATACGTATAGGCAAAAAAAAAACACATGAATTCTGATCTGACCGTTTTCATTCATGTCACTTGGCCACGAATCAGATAAGTATTCGATCTAGGACCACATATGAAACTGATCTGAAAACATGGTATTTCTGTGTCCACACAGCCCCGAAAACACCTGTGTCACGTTAAGGGAAAAAACAGATTTGAGTCACTTCAGCCTGGTAATGTGAACGTAGCCCTAGTTAAAGGTTTCGTAGGCATCAGACATGTTGCTAAGAGTCTTAAGCTAGCAGAAGAGGAGGGACATATAGCCTGGGTTGGTTGTTGAAGTACATTAAAAGTCTGTTCAATAATTAATCCTGCTCAACAGCTGTCCCTGGGCTCCGATAACCAGGATCTTTGGCATTTGTATGACCAGTTGCTGTGGGATGGAGAAGCACTGATGTGGATGTTGAACCTTTAACAGCCTCTGAGAGCCTATCTGGTGATTAGCAGGGATGCTTGTGTGACACCTACAGCCGTATAAAAAGCCAACGTTTCCTGCTTCTCTGCTTCCCTTTTAGGGGATCGCCGGACAGAGATGGATGTGTAAGTGTGACATGAGCACCTACTCTACAGCAGCGGTGAAGCTGCCCCCTTTTCTGTGAAATTACTGCTGTCCTGTCAAGATGCAGTGCTGTCATACCCACCATAATTGGCACTGGTGCCCTCTCTAATTTGTTGACTTCAACAAAAAATTCTACTTTAGTAACATTGTTCTCTGTTGATCTGATGTTTTTTCCCCTTCCAGTATGTATTATATTGTCATAATTTAAAATTTGTTCAGAGTTTTTGCAATGAGCTGTTTGTCTTTGATAGTAACTTGTCCTTGTGTTTGAGCTGACTACCTTGCAGCTGTGCTTTTTTTGTGCATAATTGTGCAAACCGTAAGTGCATGATTTGGATAACTGCATCTCCATCTTCTGTGTCATGGATCTCCCATCCGCCAGGACCGTCAAGAGACCGAATCGGTACTAAAACTATTTGAGTTTCCCCTGCAGTCTGGTAGCTATGTCATGATTTACAAGGCCCGCAGTATTCCCTTACTCCTAATTTCTTGTTATTTAGCTGTTTGATACTCATTAGTTCTGCTTGCATCATTTCCAGCATTTTGCTGTGTGGTGAGAGTGGTTAAAGTTCTCTATGTTCCTGGACAGCCACAGAAAAAGACCAACGGTGCTCCAAATGGGATCTGTGGAGAAATGGACTGGGACCGATATGTGAGTCACTATGACTGTATGCTGTGCTCTCTTACATAATCCAGCCAATGTCATGTGTCATCATGTTCTTTATATGTGAGGCACAAACAGGATGATACCTTGCTTAATGAATTGGATTTATTCTCAAATCCTTCTTTCGTAATCACTTAAATATGATCGTAATTGCCATAAGTAGAGATCTGCGTTCCTTCAAATGAAGTGTGTTGGAGGTATTTGAGCGATGTGATTGTAGCTTCTTCACATAGCGACCAGTTCAGTCTGTCTACCTAGCTTATAGCATTCATACTTTGGAGAAAATAGGTGGGTTATGTATATGTCCATACTGAAGGCTGGGTGGCACTCTTTTACAGAATGCTCCTGACGTGGACGATGAGGGCTACAGTATTAGGCCGGAGGATGACGAAGAGGGTATCCTTCACAGATCGTGGATACCAGTCATTTGTTCTGTTTCATTCAGCCTTTGTTTCCTTCCAACTCTGATTAGCAATAGCATCATGTTTGCTGTTCAGATTTTATTCAGATGTTTTCGTCTCTATGAACAGTCTTCCACAAGCAAGATGAACATGCAGGATGGGACACAAACAGCAACTGTATTAAATTTAATTATGGATTTATTCTTCCATAAATTCAAAGCATGGATGGCATGGTGGTTAAGGAAGTAGGACCTATTAAGAAAAGGGTACAGGTCTACAACTCCAGGAGAGAGTTTGCGATGTTATATCAGGGATTTGTTTAGCCCCCCCCCCCCCCCCCCCCAGTGAAAGTTCCACAGTTTACGTTGGGTGAAAATGTCTTCTGAGAATGAAATATCAATGGCATTGTTCTCCTTAACCAAGTCACCAGGCAAGGGAAAGTTTTTCTCATCCAGTGATTCTGAAGGGGAGGATGACCAGCTGAAGAAATTCAAGATCAAGATCAAACCTAAAGAGAGTACCGAAATTATCACGCCCTCCATGGAGGAGCTTAAAGCTTCTATAGGAAACATAGCACTATCTCCTGCCCTAATGGTGAGTCCCCGTGATAATTATATTTTTCCTTCAACTCAGCTTTCGTTTTATATTGACATTTTAAAGAGCAGGCTTGGCTCACACAATGTCATTTAGTTGCGCTATGAGTTTTGTTTAGGTGTTAGCATTGCTTTCTGCTATTCCAATTTCAGAGACAAAACTTTAATAGGAACCAGACCTTTTGTTTTCATAACTATCTATCAGCCATTGTCTGTTGGTGGATGTGATTCACAGAATGTCTGTTTCTGGGTTGGAGTTGCTTTGTCTTGAGCTTCCATTGATAGAGGAAGCTGCATTGTGGGACTGGAGTAATGACGAGTGTATCGCAGGATTAGATGAGGCTTAAAGCCAGAGTGATTCATTGTTGTGTCATAATGTGGAGGTTTTTGGAGCTCCAGAGATGCAACAGAGCGTCCAGATGGCCAACTGTGACGGCCAGTGACGAAAGACTTTTGACCTATCAGGTGACCTTTCCCATCCAATAGGGTGTCTCTTCACCCTGGCCCTTGGTGTCACCTTTCCTTTGTTACCACCAGGCCAACTTATGTGTTGTTTTGTTTTGCTCCAGTTTTCATTCAAGGGTGTTGAGGATCCTTTAGCTCCTGCATAGCATCACATTTCATGAAGCTGTTTATTGCCAATAATTGTTCCAGAACATAGATACTTATTAAATCCAGCTTTCTGGAACGTAGGTGATTGTCTTTGTTATGTCAACCAGATGCTTTGGGACAATGAGATCTTAAACAATGCCTCGTTTATTCAACAGCAGTACATTAAAACACACTGTAAAAACTTGATGAACCCTTAAAAGTAACCCTGATGATGAATTTATGGAGAAATCTGTTTACAGACTTAAAAGCCACAAGTTAATGTGTCTTTAATCTGACAAAGTGTGTTTACATCATTGGCAGCTAGGTTACTTCTCAAGAGTAGAGAATGAAAATCATAATGCTTTTCAGTGAATCTGATTCTTTTCCTTCACCTATAATATTTGCTTGCCGGTTCATTCGCTGGTTCATTCACACGTACTTCTGTGTACCTATCCGGTTAATTGTATTTGATGTTGGTTAACTTTAGGCATACTGACTCATCTGTATGTCACTATGTCAGTGGTTTGGTCAGAAGGAATGAATAGCTCATGAACCTACTGATGAGTATAAGTTTAAGGAAGCGGAGGAGAATATATCCTCTTCAATCTACGATAGCCCATAGTAAGCAAGGTCGTACGTTATTGTCGGATGTTGCACGTCCAGTGTTTCCGAGCTCCAAAAACAGGAACCAGTCTCCGATGTGTCCCCAGGAAGCGCCACTTGTGAAAGTGATGATGGGCTTTTAAAACAAGACTGGCCATGATTTAACTGGTTTTTATGGTTTTGCGGCGTCTCATCACAAAGCACTTTTCATCAATGGTCACTCTAACTTAACTTTAATATGACATTCTCGATAACTTTTTGCAGGTTACAGTGCATTTCTTGTAATCAAGGTAGTTAGTTATTTTTTCACACATTTACTCATCTGTTTATAAATGCTGTGGGAAATGAAGGTCACACTCTAAGAGACTCTCATTTTTGTGGTCAGAATCATACAAAACATTAGCCACAAACAATCCTGTTTCTTGACATACGGGTGTTTCAATCCAACCTGACACTAACAGCCAGTGTGCTCTCTCTCCCGCGTCTCTCTGTGGCCTCTGTAGAGGACTAGCCCGGTAAGCCTTCCTCTTCTTAACCTTCCTGATGAAGTTATTCTTTTCTAGAGCATGAGCATGTGACCATTATGCTGCATGTGACAATTATGTTGTTTTTTTTCCATGTTTGTTTTATATACAGCTCTCGACTCGTGTAAAAATCGACTTGCATAAATCCGTAAAATGCCGGAGATGTATACGGAAGTACTAGCACAAAAAGGTTACATAGACCTGTAAGGAAATTTATCTTTTTATTAATTTAGGCGTTTTAGGATGTATTACTACTATTTCTTGGCTTATGTGGTTTTTGCTATAAGGTGTCTTGAATGGTATGGGAAGGTAAATCCAACTTGTGTGAATTTCGACTTGATTTGGTTTGTGCAATCAGTTACTTTTGTCATTCAAGAGCAGTACGATATTTTATGTTATGTTTATATGCTATTTATGTGAAGTATTTACATTCTTAAATTAAGTAAGGTTCCTTGCTGCGGTCATTTAGAACCCAAGCAAAAAGCACTTCAGAATTCGGCAGCAGTTTTCCGTACTTTTCGGCATATAGCGGATGTTGCTGAGTGAAGGGAGGGATCCCTCATGTAGGTGCCAGGTGCAGGTGGTTTGGAGAGGAGCTGGCTGGCCCGGCAAAGACGCTCCACAGGGGCTGGTCTCCTCTCCAGCAGCCAGCAGCCAGCCCTCTTACATCATCCCAGCTGCCTGCCATCATGTCTTGGGAAATTAGCTGTGGAGACAAAAGCTTGGACAAGTCAAGGACTGTGGAGCCATTCCAGTAACAGTCAAGGCAGTGAGAGAGGGAGGATGGGACCTTCTGGGTCGCACCCAAGTCACCATATCATATACACTTCCAGCATGCTAGGAAAGAACTGCGAGGGGACTGATTCTCTGTAAGCAGTCATGCGGAGGCTTCATTGCTGACACACAGCTGTGACATCCTGGGCACTCCTGCCACGCTGGTGTCGGACGCCTGCTGATCACTGGTCACTAGCGGTCCCTTCTGGTGGCCTAGCCCCCAGCGCCGGCTTCTGCTTCACCTTTTGGCAACAGGAAAACAGATGACTCAATCACAATGTCCATAGAATTTTATATAAAATGAATGTTAGAGAACATACTAATAGCTTGTTTATTCAATCAAATATCTTGAAACTAAAGGATTTGGTTAATTAAAAAACCCTATTAGTTATGTATAAATCTAAAAAGATATTATTGCCAAATAATTTACAGAAGTTTATTGTTTCGAGATCAAGTGATGGTAGTAATAGAAGGAAGTTTGATTTTAAAAGTATAATTGTACGGACAATATTAAAGCAGATGTGTATTTCAGTATATGGAGCAAAACTCTGGAATAATTTGGATGATGATTTGAAAAAATGTTCAGCTATTAATCAATTTAAGAAACTTTGCAAAGAAAAAAAATATAAGATCTGATGAACTTATGAGTTAATAATGATTGATTGATATTGTTTGCAATTTATTTTGTATGTTAGTTTATGTATATGGCCATATGTAACTTACTCTATAATCACTGAGAAAGGTGCAGGACATACAAGAATATCCCCTTTTCACTTATGGATTGTATGTAATGAAACAGTTTGTGTTTGTGGCTTAATGATGATGTTTGAAAAAATTGACTAAGTGGGATAAACTTATTGATTGACCTGTAATGCATAGAGATTGTAATAGACTCTTGCCATTGGCCATTTGATGTTTGGCATTCAGAACTAGAGGAGAGTTTTGGTTTTTGCAGTTGCCCCCTCGCCAGCGAGTGCATTTGGGCTCTGATTGGCTGACTGTTGCCCCTTGATGCTACCCAGACCTCACTAACACCTCAGCCTCTTTGCAGAGAACAGTACAGGAAGTGGCTAACGGACTTGCTAACTCCATGGATGTGCTGACTGGCTTTTGGCGGTGTCCTTCCTGTACTGATTTGTCACTTTCTGACCAGGCATTTCTTCTCTGTCCCTTTTTGCTGGTCACAGAGACGTAGCCCGGTAAGTTGACTAACACTTTCCTGTCATGTTTCCTGGCTTTTTGAACCGTGCGGTGATAGTGGGGGGGGTGAAGTCATGCTCGAGCTGCGAGGACGATGCAGCCACTGTCAGCTGCTCTGCTTCCAGAGTCTCTTGGTTGTCGTGTTTTTGGGATTTGTTGGCCGACAATCCTTACTAGATGTATTGCTTCAGTCCTGATGGTGGGAGCTCAGTAGTTCATCACAGGCCCCGTACCACTGAGTGACAGACGTGGTGTGACCAGCAAGCTCTGCTGCATATTGGGTGTTCCAATTGTTCTCGAGTTGACAGTTCCGTCTTTTGACGATGCCAATAATTTATCCAACGAATTTCATTCTTCAGCTCAAAAGCTGTAACCCTTTTCGTCTTGTGTTCCAAACATGAAACGTCATTATAGGGAAGAACAGCAAACAGTCACTGATTTGTGAGTGCTGAGTTCTGTATCTCAGAGTTTGAGTTCATCACGTCTATGTAGATGGAACTCCCATGTGTGAAATAGGTTTGTTATCCTGTCTGGCTTTTGGCAGAATATCTTTTTTGCTTGTTGATTTCTGTTAAACTTTGCAGTGTAATATAAATTGGTATGGAAATCTTATTTCACTGAAACCTTAATACAGTATAAATAAGTGTTGGAGTTTCTTATAGAATTTATGATTTAGAAATGTTTCTGGTTTATTTAAATCTGAAACAAACTCTCTTTTGTGATTTCAGGGCCTGATGAAAGCAAATCTGACTGGCAAGTATTTTGCTAGGTGTCGATTGTAATTGTAATATACCGCATGTGCACCCATTAAAAGCGTGATGGCTAACAGCCTGCATAAGAATCATCCGCACTTTTAAAAGAAAATTGATGATTTTCCTTCACAGGTGAAGAGATTGCCAGACCGAGACGGTCCGTGGTCACAGCGCCCCCCATTGCAGGTTTCGAAAATGCGCCCCCAAGGTTGGTCCCCATCTGGCGCTATCCGCAATGGACAATAAAATCACTGCCTGCTGCTATCGATAATAAAGTTGATAAATTCACTGCCTCATGCTATTGATGATAGTCGATCAAACCGCTCCCTCATGCTAATGATGATAATTGATAATTGTCCTCTGATGCTATTCATGATAGTCAATAAAATCCCTGTTTGATGTTAGCGACTATAGTTTATAGATAAAATTACCCTTTGGCAGAATTGATGATATCCGATAAAATCACCCTCTGATGCTATTCATGGTTATCGATAAAATCACTGCCTCATACTGATAATTACAAATCATCTTCTGATGTTATTGGTGATAGTTGATTAAATCATTGTCTGATTTTACGAACAATCGCTAATTAAAATCGCTATATGATGCTATTGATGGTAGTGTCAAACGGTGGTTTTATCTACTATGAGAAACAGATAATAGATTCATATGAGATGCTGTTGAGAAAATTCACTGTGTATCGCGGTATTTGCCGGTGTTTCGAATCGGCAAGTTCCAGGTCTACATATATGACACCCTGTCCTTGGTTTCCCGGCAGAGATCCAACTCCGATACCAGAGGACTCGGCCACCTTGTTTGGGCCTCCCCTAGAGACAGCGTTCGAAGGAGAGAAAATGGAAGGTGTGAATCTTAGGTGGATTGGGACCCGTGGACTTGCTGACGTGTCTTCCTCAGGGGTTTTTGCAAATATTCGCGTGCATGTTTTTCTTTATTTACTTTCATGGTGGGTTTGTTTCTGTTTTCGTTTAGCACTTAGCATTTAGAGCTTAGCGTGCATGCATGTGTGTGTATTCCCCAGATGCTAAAGTACATTGACCTACTCTGCTCCGGCCAGCAGCGCTCTGCCTTGGGGCTCATTTGTAAGCTAATATGATGATGACAGTTCAAGATGACGTTTATAGGATGCTGAGAGCGGGCCAAGAACGTGTCAGATCTTACTGTAAGGCAATACGCCTGTCCACTTTTAGAGATCACCAAGGGTCACGGTCAGGGTACAGAAGGGGAAAGGTCATGTGAAACACACACTGCAGCTATTTCCTCGCTGTTAGGTCCTCCTGTTAAATTTAGTTATTTTAAGAATCCACGTAATCGAGGCCTCCCAAGGAGAAGCTGAGCCTTTGCCGTCTGTCTTTTTCCTAATTCAGCGGTTATAGACGAGCCCGGTGTGTGGGGTGCACCTCCTACTGAGTCACCTGACTTTCCTGCCGGAAGTAAGTCTTGGTTCAGGTGGAGATTAAGCTGCCATTGTCCAGCACGCTCACCGAGCATGTTGCGAATGTCTGCGGTAACACCGCACACCTCAGTCAGGGAGATGTCCGCGTGCCGGCGATCCCTCATCTGCTTCTGCTTCGGACCCCTCCCCTTTTCATGCCCCTCCCCTGCTGACTGATGACTTGTCAGAGTTTGGTCATATGGGTCCCACACCTCCGTCCCAGATCAGCTGCAGACCCTCCTACCCAGTGAGCTTCCTTTCATATTCGCAAAAACAAAAAATGTCATTGCAGCTCCACCTCTGCTTCCACCCAAGAATGTCTCAGCCCTGCCTCCCTTGTTTGGGCCCCCATCCGCAGTGTTTGCTGGTAAGCCCCCCACCCCCACCCCCACCCCATTGTACCTCATCCCATGGCTCCTAACCTACAGTCAGGTACCTGCTGTTTATAATCATTGGTGAGGCCTTGTTGTTCTCTGTCCCGGGCGATTCCTGGCGCAGAGATGTCGAGGAATGAAGGGGATGAGCCATCAGAAGCAGTCAAGCCCTCATTTGCGGACCTGGACTCCATCTTTGGACCTGTTAAAGCCCCTGAATCCATGGAGGCTGTGGTGGAGAATAAATGGATCAGCTTCAGTGATGACTCACCTGAGAAACCCCGCCCTCTGGGGGAACAGCCTCCGCCCCTTCCTCAGGCCCCGCCCCCAGACTCACCCCCTCGTGTTCCGGCCACTCCCACTCAGGAGGACAAGTCTGACCAACCCAGAAGCTCCTCCCCATTGTCTGTTCACATTATTCCCCCACAACTTGAAAATAACCAGGGAGATCAGAAGAGCCTGGAAGCCACACCAGGCAACGAGAACCTCGCAGGGTCCGCGGCCTCACAGGCAGCTCCTCCCACGTCCTGGGCTGTGGTGTCCTCACCCGAACCCTGCTCTAGCTACGGCCCCGAGAGCGGTGAGTGTATCTCGCTATGGACTAAGGCGTCTGCCTTGGGGGGGGATCGATGGTGCTCGATCTGCTACCCCTGTGATCATTTCCTGGGTTAAACCAGCAGCCATATCTTATTGAACACTTTATTTCTATTTAAAGTACAGGAAAACACATTGCTTGATACTTTCTCTAATACACTAGGTTATTAATAAAGAAAACTGAAGTTTAATTATTTGGATATGAAATTATGCTAAATAATGTGAGGTGGAATGCTCTTTTTAAAATGATCAATAAGTAACATTTTAATATTGAATTTTTAGTAACAGGTGGAGAGGAGACAAGCTTAGAAAATTAATGTTAATAATTTAAGATGTTTTAGCTTAGACTGGTTTATAGTTGAATAGGATGTGTGTCGTGGCTGACATGGATGGGTGATATTTAGCTGATGTGAACCAAGGTAATTTCCTGTCTGTGGCAGGGTCTTCCTGCCCGGCTCGCCCTTCCACACCTGTGGCTGGCAGCGAACCTGCCCCACCCCCTCCCCCGCCAAGACCCCCCTCAAGACCATCAGTACCCCTTGGGAAGCCCAGTGCGGGGGAAGGGGTAAGAGCTTCCCATGTCCTTCAAAATATTTTCCTTTCCAGAGGGTAGCACCCACATAAAAATATTTGAAATCCCTATCTATTTACCCTTAAGCTTCCTGTCATGTGACTCACAGGGTTGCTGAACCCACATTGGTGTATCAAGCACCATCCAGGGCCAAACCAACCACTGTCCTGTTTTCTCCTGCAGGCCCCAGTGTTCTGCCCCCCTGTCCCTTCCTGCAGCCCCCCACCCCTGGCCCCGCTGGCACGGGCAGAGAGCACCTCCTCCATCTCCTCCACCAACTCGCTGAGCGCCGCCACCACGCCCACCGTCAGTAGGGAGCCCACGGGCGCCGTGTCAGGTGGGCACCGCTTCCTGTCCCGTTTTGTTAGCCATCTTCATCCACTAAATACCGTCTTTATCCTCAGCCCAGATGTACTCTTATTTACTAAACAAATCCTCACCTTTTATTTTAGCTGCTGTATCTCTAAAGATGTTTGCTTGGAAATTGTTCTCATCAAGTCAAGTTAAGCTCATGCCAACCATGTACAAATACACAGTGAAACGAAATTATGTTCTTCCTACCCCAGGGTGCAACATTCATGACAGGACATACATTGCAGTGCTTAGAAAAGAGATTTTGGAATAATAAATGCAAAAGGAAATCCCTATCCAAATATTCAAAATTTCAGGGGAGGGGAGACCAAAGGAAGAGTACTACCTATCTAACATAAATAACAAACACAACATAACACAGCAAATAATAGAACATAATGTAATAGAACAGAATATAAACATAACAATGTAACAGAACATACACATATCACAACAATGTAATAAAACAGAACATAAACATAACACCACAAACATAACAGAACAGAACATAAACATAACACAATAATGTAACAGACCAGAACATAAACATAACACAACAATGTAACAGACCAGAACATAAACATAACACAACAATGTAACAGACCAGAACATAAACATAACACAACAATGTAACAGACCAGAACATAAACATAACACCACAAACATAGCAGAACAGAACAAACAACACATTTCACATTAGACAGAAGAACAGGCACACTATGCGACTGGGAAATGAGTGCCTGGAAATACTGTATTTTTCTGCAGTTCAGCAGTTGTGGCAGCATATTGGCGTTGAGGCTGTGTGTGTTCCTCTGCTGTGTAGTGGTGTTTTCCAGAGAAGGCTTCCTAAAGTCTGGAAATCGTGCCAGATCAAACCCTGCTGATATCACATATTTGAGATTTCCTTCTTCCAAGAAAGTGCTGCCTTTCATTTGGGTCCCTCCAGTCAATGCAGGGATTTACTTCAGTTGTTAGTTTGGTTGTCTCCGACCCATTTAGAGTAGTTGTTTTAAAAATATGGTCCTTTCATATGGAAAATCTCTGCTATCCTCCAATATTTTTGTTTAGAGACCTTAAAAAAATTGATTTTCTTTAGTCAGTGGTGGGCACACTTGACTTTTAGGTCACCTTGTAACAGTTTCGTTATTTTAATAACTTTTTTACAGGATTATAACCTACAAATCATAATCAGAATCGCTCTTTGTTTTGTCGGCTGTGTGCTGAGTGGAGGGTCAGACTTTAAACCTTCCCAAGTGGTTTTCTGAGAATCAGTATTAAAAAAAATATTGGCTGTTATTGTAGTGAATGATCCTAATACCTCACAGCCATCATCTCTTTCCTTTTCCACCCCTTCAGTATTTTTTTTGTGCATCTGTTTCCTCCATTTTGCAGTTTTGTTTTGTTTTGTTTGTTTTGTTCTGTTGTCATGAACATCAGGGAGTTTGCCTCAGCACAGTCACTCACTCCTTGTGTTTCTGACTGTGATTCTGTTCACTGTCATTTTCTTTGGCTCCAACGGTTTTTTTCCCCTCTGCTCTGCGGATCCTCCCCCTGCTGCATACAGTAGGGGCAGCCCGGGGTTGAAAAGTAGTCAAGCTTCATTAGCCATTTGTCTTTGTCCAAGTACATGGACGGGTACAGACATTCCCCAGCTGACGAACGAGATCCGTTCCCTAAGTAATAATACATACATAATAACAATAATAATAATTGTACAATAATAGTAAAAGTAGCTATATACTGTACTGTACCAGAAGTCAATGAACTGCTGAAGCTGTGCTATGTTTTCATTAACGTGAATTGGAAAGATGATATAACTGCAGCCAATGGACTGAAAATCAAGAAACTCTGAATCCTTTGAACAGCAGATAACTCTGTTAGCCTGACGTGCACCATCGATTATGTGCACCATCGACATGTGCACCATCGACATGTGCACCATCGACATGTGCACCATCGACATGTGCACCATCGTTTATTGCGCTGTCAGTAGTGTGTGCATTTATTATTACAAACCATTTTATTTCATTTGAAGTTTTCACCTAATAGACTTTCACCTAATAGACGTTTGCAAGTACAGGGTGTCTATAAGTCAGGCGTTCTTAACCCGGGGACAGACTTTACATTGGAATGTCTCATTTTATATATCCCTCTCATTTTTTAAGACTTACACACATATAGACAGTGGAGCTTGGGGTCCGAGCCCAGGCCAGCAGAAATTCTGAGCACTGAAATCGAACCAATGATCTGCCCCCCCGTGTTCCACCTCAGCCTCCTCGGGCCTCTACCTGATTGGTCCTTTGGCCAGAGCGGCCCGTCCCACACAGAGCGAGCCACAAAAGCTGATTTCGGGCCACTTGTCACGACTTTCTTGCCGTCTCCCTCCGATCTGTATTCACGGTGAAACACCGCGGTAAACAGGAAGTAAGGTGTAGCAGACTAATCGCATAGGCATGTGTGTAGCTGAAGCTTATTTTAAAAGGTTTCAGTGGTTCAGATTTGTGTGTTTTGTGTCTTGTCCCTTCTGTAAGTATTACCGTAGTTTTCTGAAGGTGTGGTGTGTAAATAGCTGGGGCGCAGTGTGAGGAATGAGGGATTATAGGGGGTGGTTAAGGAGGGGAGAGGACCCCCAATCATCCAGCCACCGTCTCCCTGAAGTATGAAATCTGTCACCTGCTTCTGGAAGCATAAGAGCAGCTTCTGACCCTGTCTAGCTCAAGGCTGAGCTCCTGGCAGACGGGTTAGTGGCGTTTGGGATTCACACTGCTGTCTTAACGGCGTTATACACTATCTGAGCTCCCCCCCCCCCGACCCTCGCACCCGACTCCCCTTTCACCCAGCTGGTCTAACGGAACCCCAGACTCATTCCTCTATTATCCATCTGTAAACAGCACTGATCTCCTACGCTTTCCTCCTCCTCCCACTTGTACTCCATCCCTTCCTGTTCCCCCTCAGCACACAGCAGAATGAGCCTTCCTGTTGTTGCCCCACACTGCCCCTAGTGTCTCCCGCTATGCGCTGCAGTCAGCTTCTTCATGTCTCTGTTCGACCACTTACCAAGAAGCATAATCGTGACCCTGCTAGGCAGTCCAGTGTCCTGTGGACCCGTGGGGTGGTCTGCAGATGCACCTCAGTCCAGCTTTTGAATGATGATGAAACGCATGAAACTTGAATTTCAGCTTGGAAGGCACCAACAGCTGGTGTGTGTGTGTGTGTGTGTGTGTGTGTGTGTGTGTGTGTGTGTTAGCTAGTGATTTCAGGAGAGCAGCAGAGACAGCTATGGGCGAGTTCCCGGAATCTGACCCTACATCAGCTCAAAGTCCCCCATACTATCCTCAGCCCTAATTGTTTTGCTTGACCATGCTCCGCCAAGCCCCTCCCCAGTCACAGCACCAGCTAAGGAACATGTGCCTCTCCCAGCCCCTCCCAATAAAAAACAGGCTTGCTTGTCCTCTCCCTCCCTGACGTTCAGTAGATCTGTCATGTGACTCATATTGTTGTCCTTCTCTCTCCCTGTCCCC